CGTCCGGGCCCGGGAGGAACTTTCGTCCTTCCAGCCACACGCCGGTTAGGCAGCGGGGCCGGGACTTTTCACCAGTGTGCCCAGGAGTTGGTTGTTGGAGCAGCCTCTGCCGTCGGGCTGGTGCGCGTAGGGGGCTCCCGCTGATCTCTTCGGGTTCTTTTCCGCCGCGCGTGGGACGGCGATGAAGCTCAGCCGGCAGTTCACGATATTTGGCGGCGCGATCTTCTGCGTGGTGATCTTCTCGCTCTACCTGATGCTGGATCGGGGCCACTTGGACCACCCCAAGAACCACCGCCGGGAAGGCTCCTTCCCGCAGGTGAGCCGGACGGGAGCCGCCGTGGGGCGGGATGGTAAAGGAAGAGGCGGCTTGGTGTGGTGAAGGGAGGCTTGTCTGGCAAGCGGGGACGGTTCAGGGAGGGGAGAAAATGCAGAGCGCCCCGGCCGTGAGGGGGAAAGTGGCGCGGGTGACTCAAGCCGAGCAGGCATCTCTTCAGAAAGGAAGTGCGGGGGGTGGGGAGTCTCTCCTTGTCTCCGATCCGGGGAGAAAGGAAACAGCTTCGAGCCTTGCCAACAAAGCAGGCTTGCTGGGATCTAAATCTTTATGAACTCGGTGGGGCTTGCTGCTAGCCAAGCCTTCCTGCTAGCTAAATCTTGAACACTGCAGCTTAAATTGGGGGAATGAGAGAGCAGCCGGCCTTCTAGCAGATTTTAAATGGAAGCTCAGTGGTATAATGACTTTATTGTTGTGTTGGGCAGATTTCATATGAGCCGGAGTCCAGTCCTGGAACCGGCTTTTAAAGAACATACTCGCCCTAGTCCGGGACTGTATGCCTATTAACCGCCTCCTGGTACATCTCCAGTAGTGACTAGGGATGCGGATGGAGGGTGGGACTTCCAGATAGTGATCTCTCTGGTGCCCCGAAGGAAAGGGGTGTAGGCAAGGATAGGTTGTTGACTCTCAAAAATATAAGTCAGCTGTTTATCATCTGCTCTTTTCTCTCATGACTTTGAGATGAAACTTCTTTTAAGTCTGGGAAGTGTACATCTGCGTGATTGTTAAATGAGTTTCACCACTGGCCCTAGAATATATTTGTTCAGTTTTGTTTTTGTTTTCCTTTCATGTTCTTATTTTGACTTGTTGGGGGGGGGGTAGCCCTTTCCAAGAAAAAGGGTAGATTCTTTATGGCACAGTATAATACCCAGATGTGGTTGGTAAACCATGGTTTCTGGATTAATGCATTTAATGAATGTACCCAATCGATTGTGGTTTACTTAATACATAACTGTAGCTTATGATGTTATGGAGGCACACTCTGAATTCTTTGAGCAGCCTGTGCAATAGGTGGTGGGTAGAAAAAAGACTGGCCCAGCACTAGACCTGAACTCAGAAGTTTTGTGAAAGTGTGTCACAACCACTACATCACTTTGATAATTATTTATTTGCAGCTAAAAAGTTAATATAGTATGAAAGCTCTGTGCTTTTCTATAACCATATTCTGTTCTGTGACTGAAAATAAATTGAGTTGTGTATGGCTAATCCTACCAATTAATATTGGTGTAGCTTAGAAATACTTCCAAATGTTAGGAGAGGAAGAGTGCTAATATATGGCATTGAGTTTCCACATTTTCTTTAAATATATAATGCTAGGTTTGCTTGCTTTTGAACCAAGTCTGTGATACCTCCAAATAGAACAAATCTTGTATACCTCTAAATAAGACAAATAAAGCATTTTAATTATAAACATTGGGGTTTTTTTGGAATGCAACATGAAAAAAAATGGAAATAGAATATTATATTTGCATGTTTTCATTACCTTTGTTCAGTAGGAAAGAAGGCAACATTTATTTACACTGATTTCCCTTTTGGATTTTGGCCGGAAGTGTAGAACTGTCAGACTCTGGACTATTTAGTGAATTGTATATTACAACATTTATTATGTAGCGTGAAATCGTGGTCTTGCCTACTTTTGTGGTTCTAAAATTTCAAATTCCTATGCAAAGGGTTCTTTCTTTCAAGAACTTTAGCAGTTTATTTAATATATATTGCTTCCTATGTTGAAGCATCTCAAAGTGGTTTATATAAAAACAGAAATAAAATACATTAAATTCAAACAATATAGAGGAACATTTAATAAGACAGTTTCATTAAGAAGGTGGGGAATATTAAAAAATAGCATTGTCAGAACGTATGCACTCAGTTAATATAGCTGTTTTGAAAATAAGTGGAACATGTAAGCTGTTAAATGGTAACTTTCATAGCATTTAGTGCTTTACAGAAATGTTTTAGAAAGTTTTTTTTTCTAACTTTTGTACTTTTGCAACAGAATGCATGTAAATTGAAGTTCTGTAAAAAGAAGTTTGGAAACAAAAAAAGATTCAGGTGATTTTTTTGGAGGGGGGATATCTTTGTTTTTTATTTTGAAAGACCTGTTACTTGATAGACTGGAAGTGATGAGTATCTATTTACTGTTAGCAGTTTTACAGCTGTGACTAATTCTATCCTAAAACATTCTAACATCAATAAATGTTGCCATCTGTTGAGAGAGTAATAGGAACTCTTCCTGTCATAAGTAGGATTTTCAGTTAAAAGGACCAGTTAGGTTACTGATAGTGAAGTCTGCATGTTCCTCTTTCTTATCCATTATTATTTATCTCAGAGGGATAATTGAGTGGTTGGCTAAATAAAATCATTTATATGTGGTGCCTAGCTAGAATCTCTCAACTGGAACATTTTTGGCTGGCTTAACCCAAAAGTTAGCATTATGATTGCTTAAAGCAAAAAACATTAAGTACAGTCAGAGCAATAAAAGGAAGCTAAAATTTCTAGCTTAGTATTTGCCTGTGGATAATATGACAGGCAGATGCTTAAGCTTGCTGAGAAACAGATATAAAGCAAAACATCCAGGAATCTATATTTGGCAGGGCAGTGCAGCTGTAGATTTCAGTTATCTCCCTGATACAGGCCTCACAATGGCTTAGGTTGCATGCAGGCTGTAAACTTGCCTGGAGGCACAATCTGATTCAGAGCAGTAGATCAGGGCAGAGTTCCAGCTTGCATTCACAGACAATAAACATTGTAGATGTCTTGATGTTGTCTGGGTTGTAAGCTAACAAATTATAAATGCAGTGTTTTTCATTAGGAATAGAAGCACATAGGCCATGTCGATACAGAAAGCCTACTTTGAAGAATGACATAGTTTTTTAAAAATAAGAGCAAATACATTTTTGCAAGGATATTTAACTTGAAGGATTTATCGTGCTTTTAAGTTTGCATAGTAATTAAGGGTACACAAAAGTTCTTAATATACTGTAAAATTATCTTGAAAGGCTTGAACTAAGAATTTTTAGATGAACTGGAAATATATTTATTAGAATGTTTTAAAGCCTTAGTTGATCTTCTAAAATAAAGTAAATAGAAGAATCTTCACTATTTTGTTATCTGAGTGGAATATTACATAGTCACTTCATTTTTGAGATCCGTAGCTGTTATATAAAATTACACAATTTACTAGTTTCTTCTCCATTCCAATATTTTTAAACAGGAAAAGATAAAAATGCCAGCAGCCACATCATTGTCATATACTATATGCAGTGCATGTGTAAAATCAATCAAAAGAAAGAGTAGGGCTTTTAACTATGCAAATGTTTGGAGGCTTAATTGGTTGTAAACTTTGAATTGGAGGTGGTATGTTTTTTAACATGCATTAGAAATGTTCCAAACTAAAATACTTGTAAAAGTTCAAATTTTCACAGAGAGAGGGAGAGCGATGCACATATGAGAAGACATTACTTCCAGAAAGTAGGAAACTTGCCCAAATCTAATCAAAATATAACAAAATAAACATATGTGTACTATATCTCTTTGGTGGGTGTGGATTTGGTTAATCTGTGGAAATAATATTCTATTAAAATCTGGCTCTTATGTTCTTACGTGAGAGCATACGTTTATTTCATTAGCTGAACCCTCGATATTAAGATTCATAGTCTGATTATAAGAAGAATCAACCATATTTAAAACAGTTGGAATACATTGAACATTGTTTATTCAGACTTACATGCACTGGGATTTCTTCTTCCTGCATACATTGTGCCATCAAATCTCCATCAGATGTCCTCTAAATAAGATTTTTGGGGCATAGAAATTGTTTCTATCCATAATATCCATCTTGTTGATGGATATGCACTGCAAGATTACTCCAAGATAGTATGATTTATTTTTCAATTGTTTCTTTGCTTAGAACATTGTAAATAGCTGCATTCAACAACGTTGGTTAAGCTGGTGTTCATGGGTATAATCTTGTTTGGTTGTGCTGAGGCACTGCTCATTCTCAACTATAATATTGCTGATTTCAATTAATAGAAAACAGGATATGTGTCACAGATGTAGAAATGCTATGATTACTTAAGACAACTTTTTAATGTTTGCAAAATTACAGCGCTCTTAACTGCTTCCTCTAACTGAATGAAACAGATTGAAACAGTATTGGCAGTTAGTGGACTTTCATTTATTAGCAATAATTTATAGGAGCAAAATACACATTACTGTGTTATTATAGTAGTGGTTCTTAACCCTATATGTACAGATCATTGTCACATTCAGGGTTCCACATTCATAAAGCAGAATAGAATTGAAAAGCACCTTAGAAGACATCTAGTCCAACTCCCTGCTCGATACAGGATCACTAGAGTATGTTTGAGCATCTGTAGTGAAAAAGAACTCACCATTTCATGTGACAGTTATTTGCATGATACGTACAGTCGCTCATACACTCAGGAAGTTCCTTCTAATATCTAGCTTGAACCTACTTTCTTGTGATTTGTTGACTAGTGTTTCTAGTCCTGCCCTGTAGGGCAATAGGGAATAAGTTCACTCCTTCTACGTGGTAACACTTCATGCATTTGAAAACTAACATATTTCCCTTCAGTCATCTCTTCTATAGGCTAATTATACCCAGCTTCTTTAACTGTTCCTCATAGGGTTTATTTTATAGATTCTTCACCATATTCTCTGAACAAGATCCAGTTTGTCACTGTCCTTTTTGATCTGTGGTGCCTAGAATTGGAGGCAGTATTCCAAATAGGGTCTGACCAGGGTAGAATAGAGTGGAACAATTACTTCCTGTGATCTGGACTCAGTGCTCCTGTTAATAAAATTCTTGTTCAAACAAGCCTTCTAAGAGTTACTATTATTAAACTTAGACTGATAGGGGGTTTTTTGCACTTGATGACAAGTTTCTATCTGCAAAAGGAGGTGTGTTGTATGGATGCAAGATTGTGATAAAGTTGACAACACTTAAATATTTAAAACTGCACTTA